GAAGGAAAAGCCTATAAAAGTATAACAGACTTCATGAATTACATTAACAGAAAAGTGGATGTTTTCGACCAATGCCAATGCGACATATACTTGCGATATTATCTACTCTGTATCAGATCTGACTATAGAAATAAAGGTAATAAAGATTTTTGGATTCAAATTTGTTAAGCAAATTCGTTAAATAAGGTACCTGAATAAATAAGTAATAAGGCACTGGTAAAAAGGCCCCTTATACAGGGTGAGTCTTAAGTAAATGCAAATATCTTTAGGGGTGGTATATATTTCGATCCCATAAACATGTGTCTATAAGTCTTTTTCCCTTTTTTTTTAAGTTTTTTTTTTTAAATTTGATATTTTTCGAAAAATTGTTTAGATGTTATTTTTAATTTTTAGTTAAAAAACATAATATATTTTGATATTATGGCAATATATGTAGGTAGTAGATTTAATTTACAAAAATAAAAACCCAGCAAAAACTCTGTGGTTCTCGATATATGATAAAAAAATTAAGTTTTCAAATTAAAATAACTCTATTATTTTGGACTTTAAAATGATAAAGAGGAAATATATTTTTTATAGAGATCTACCAACCCTGAAAATATTTGCACTTATTTAAGACTCGCACTGTATATAAATCACCAAATGTATCAACACACTAAAGCTTGATTTTCATGTATCCGTTGTCCGACAATACGATGATACGATATTAATTTTATTGGTTGAATTTAAAGACTTCCATTGGTTAGAAACGGTTATCCAATCGAAGCCTTTAAATACAACCAATGAAATTAATATCGTATCAACGTATCGTCGGACAACGGATGCATGAAAATCAAGCTTAACACAGACGCTGCACTGTTGCTTTTACTGCCTTTTATATAATTTTTGATAAATATAAGATATTTTTTTTTCTTTTTTTTTTATATGATTTTTTGTTGATAATGTCAAGTTATAAAGGCTAAGAAATTTAGAAATTTCTTACCTTAAAGTTTCATTCAGAACCTTAAAATTAGTGGAATATATCAATAGTTTTAATTAGCGTAGAAGTTTGTTCCTCCAATATCAATGTAAGCATTCACAACGGCAAAATCAGTGGTAGTAATCTTCAATTAGTGGAAAAAGTTATCAAATTTTTAACTTTTCCACTAATTATACTTCAAAAGTTGCGAGGAATGTCATTTTGGCCTTTGATTATATTATCATTCGTCAAGAGAAATAATTGGGGTTAGAAATCAAAAGTTTAGTGTTTTATAAGCTAAATATTAGGGTTTCTCTATGGATACAACTGATTACCGCTAGTTGTTGCTAGGATATTCTATTAATTTTAACTGCGTTTTAGACCATAGATAAAAGAAAATAATCTTCTATTAAGATAGATATGAAACTTAATAGTAAAATTTTGGTCAAAGCGCCCCTCCGTGTTCTTAGTAGAGACTATGTTTAACCCAGCGCTTTCGCCTTTTCTGCTGTAAATATTTTTTATGTTTATATTTGATTTCAAAGTATTTAGTTTTAAAGTTACACTGATATATTTGTATATCAGAGTAACTTAACAAACCAAACATAAGAATATATATATTTTACAGTTTATTAAATATAAATTTTGACTACAAGGTAGAAAGCAAATCACAATATTTGATAAAACTTACAAGTATACCATTTTTACAGTTAATAAATAATAAAACTATTTCTGACTATGATATTTAAAATTTAGATAGATAGAATATTAAAAAACATACCGGGTATTTGCTGTCGCAGGCCCAAATTCAATAAAAATCAAAATTTTTCCTGCGAAAAACGGGCTTTTTTTACAGAAAAGGTATTTTTTGATTTATCAACAATCATTGTCAAGTTGACAATATACAGGGTGTTTTCTAATTAGTTTAAAAAATTGTGATGTGATTCCTCATGTGTTCTTAAAACAATTTTTATATAACCATTGGATCTAAAGTACTTCCTTCCTGATCTACAGGGTGTTAAAAATTAAAAAAAAATCGATATTTTGCTTAACATAAATGGTACACTACTGTTTTTTTAAAGAAAATATATTTTTTTCTTGACTGGCCATCCTTTTTCAACAAAATTGATCTTTTGAGTTTTTCTTGTTCATCAAACGGTTTGCCGAGAAAAAAGATAAATATACTTATTAAGAGCCCGCCTTAAGCCGTTTTCTAACGATTTTTTATTTTTTAGATTAATTAGGAAACACCCTGTATATGCATATCACAGGCAACCAAATAAACTAGTAACTTCTAAAAAATATTTTTCCTACCACTAGTGATACCACTAATACCGTGTTTTTAGTGAGTACTCAATTATTATATCAAAATTTCATCATATAAGTTTCCAGGCAATGGTTTTAGACATTAGGGAATGATCGTATACTAAAAACTTTGAATAAGAAGACTAAGGAAGGAGCATATCCAAAATCTTAGGTACACCGCGATGGGCCTCAAATATGGCCGACTTAAATTCCGGTTTATCAGTGCCGCTCTAATTTTATTTAAAAATGTAAAACTATGATGTAGGGTAGACGTGGGGTAGACTCAATAATTTGTTATTTTATTTTACGTTGTGAATAAATGTTGGTAGTTATTAAAATTGTTATAAAAATATATAATTCTAATAAAAATAGATGTTATAATAAGTATTTATTAACACAAACATCCGATACGCTACTGAAGCAGGTAAGTCAAATTAACGTATCAAAATTCTTTGACATCTGATCTTGACAAGTAGTAAATAAAAGCTAAAATGCAAGAAAATATATAATTTAGTGAATTTAAGTGAATTTCATAAATGATCGGTTTACTACACGTATGTATATTATATAGTCACTCACTAGCGAAAAGTTGTTCAATTATTTCACTCAATTTTTGCCGAGATCTACCGCACGCTACACAACCAACTATTGTCTTTTCGATAAATCGCGATAATGTCACTGTTAATAAGTTCTGCCACAATTTCCATCTAGATTTACTACCTTTATACAACTATCAGTATTAGAATAAATAATAAATAACATAAAATAAGCTCCGTAAAGACTGACAAATCCACAAAATTTCAAATCAAATTCAAATGTGTCAAATGAATCGTCAAACAGAACTGTCAAGGATCCCCACCCTAGAGAGCTTTTTCCGCCCACCATGGATAGCCACATGGATAGCATTATGCTCCTTCCTTAGTCTTCTTATTCAAAGACTAAAAAGTATAAAGTGTAATTGAAACCCCTAATTTATTCCACTAATTGCGAGGTTCTGAATGAAGCATTAGCCTTTTGCACCGAAGACTTTTAGAGCCAAAATTACAGTAAAAAAAATAAAAAATACATATTTTAAATAACTTTCGATATATTGTTTTGTAATTTGTAACAATTTGTACCTACTTCAATGCTGTATTAGTTATCTACATATAAAATGCAAATGTTTATCTGTGTCGTCTCTACTGAAGTAACGACTTCCTCTAGAAAGTTGTTTTTTTTTTACTAAAATATAGTTAATTGCTCGGTCTTTGCCTCGGTTAATTGGCTCTCCTAAAAACTGTCATCGCCGGATTTTTTGTTTTTCATTTAATTTAAAAAAATATATTGATGTAGTGTCCTGATGTCGTGGCGCATGCGCCAGGCTTCAACTTGTTAAACTATAAATTACTAAGGTCTAAAAGCACAGATAACATAGTATAAAAGACATTTCAATGTACAGGGTGGTCGAAATTGGTCTGTTTTAACAGGGAAACCCTATTTCCTGACTAGATAGAGCAAAACCGACATAGATGTCATGGGCTCGATTTCTGAGACACGTTTAATGGCATAAACCGCCTGTTGATATTTTCACTGCCAACTGAGATACGGGGGTCTTTTTGATTTTTTACCATTTTGAAAATTGCCCATAACTTTTTATTTCGTGGAATAATAAAATTCTGTAAAGACGTTCTTAAGGCACTTTTTAAGCACAATCCAGTGGCGTAGTGAGTTTTTTTCTATGCTTGCTCTTATCGTCAGAAATAATAAAAAATATAATTTTTAAATGGAAATCATAGTTGGCTATGAACTTAAAAAAATGCTAACGTTTAACCATTTCGAACGATATAAAGTTATGGGTACCTATTTCTAAGAATGAGAGAAATATTAGGTTTTTATCTTTGTATCGAAGTATGCCTTGATTTTGTGTTGACCTAGTTGTCTAATTATTTTTTATCGCAATTTAATATTCTATATATTATTTATTTGCATAATTAGAGAATTTTGAAAAGGTAAATTAACATTCTATATTAGTTTTATTAATTACAATTGAAATCGATACAATAAACAAAGAACAAAGCTAAAAAACGTATTTTTTTAGTGACGAATATAGTTTTCTAAAAAAAAATCATCTAAGATGTTCAAACTGAGCACCTCCTTGTTGAATACATAATAAACATCTTTTGCGCACAGAGTTACAGCGATTTATTAGGCGAACTGGCTAAGTCCAAAAGCTTGCCTAGTAGCCTTCTGCAATTCTTCTCTCGTCCCAATGGTTCTTCCCTTATATATAAGGTTCTTTAATTTTCCCCATAAAGAATTAGAAAAAAGTGAAATCACAGGACCTAGCAGGCCAAGATATGGGGTCCCTTGTTCCAATCCGATTCTTTCTAAATTCTTCATTTAATGGCGTTTCAATTGTAATTGGTAAAACTAATATATAATGTTGATTTATCTTTTCAAAAGTCTTTCATTTTGCAGATAAATAATAATATAGAATATGAAATTGCGATAAAAAATAATTAGGCAACTAGGTCAACACAAAATCAAGGCCCGCTTCGATACAAAGATAAAAAATCCTAATATTTCTCTCATTGTTAGAAATAAATACCCATAACTTTATATCGTTGCAAAGGGTTAAACATTAGCATTTTTTAAGTTCATAGCCAACTATGATTTTCATTTAAATAATTATAATTTTTATTATTTCTGACAAAAAGAGCAAGTATAGAAAAAGACTAACTACGCCATTGGATTGTGCTTAAAAAAGTGCCTTAAGAACGTCTTTACAGGATTTTATTATTCCGCGAATTAAAAAAGTTATGGGCAATTTTCAAAATGGTAAAAAAATCAAAAAGACCCCGTATCTCAGTTGGCAGTGAAAATATCAATAGGCGGTTTATTCCATTAAACGTGTCTCAGAAATCGAGCCCATGACATATACGTCGGTTTTGCTCTATCTAGTCAGGAAATAGGTTTTCCCTGTTAAAACAGACCAATTTCGACCACCCTGTACATTGGATACGCAATGCAATCAAATATTCGGCTCCATAAGAATGTGTTGTTTTCACTTTTGCAACTAAATAGTCGGTCGACTAAAAATTACATGTCAACGCGTAGCCTAATTATTATCGCCAAAAAACTCGCAAGAGAAAGGTTCAAAATTTCAAATATGTATCGAAAATTATTTTGAATAGTGTATTTCTAACTCGATTTCTAACTTTTTAGGACTGGGTTATCAGATGATGCAGGTTGGTATTGATATAGCTAGACACTTAAAAATCCCAATCGTAATGGGCGTCTTCAACAATTATAATTTGCAAAAGATTGCGAAAAAAATTGGTTTTAATCAGGTAGGTTATATCATATTATCTAGAAATTATGTTTTTTAATTAAAAACTACAAAAAAAAATCCGAAAATATTTCCAAAAAAAATCAAAATTTTTTTTCGCAAAAATACACATAGATATGTTCCTGGGGTCGAAATATACTACCCTACTTTTTAAATATAAATATAATAAAACTACAATAAATAGTAAATATATACATACACTCAATAAATAAAGGCTGTACTTAAACTGCCCTTAAATGGTAGGTTACTAAAATGCCGTTAATAGGTATGACGTCGTTGATGTGACGCACTTGACGGCTTTATGAAATATAGAAATTTTATAAGGACTAACCAACGCTATCCATCCCACAATAACCAACTTAACCAACGCAACTAACCTCGACACTGATAAAAAATATAGATACAAATATAAATTAGTAAAAATCAACCAACCCCACCGAATAACCAACTAACCAATGAATTAACACCCTCCAAATAACCACGCTAACCAACCCGCCAAATAACTAAACCAATCCAACTAAAAAGAGTGAAACCAATGCAATAAGATTACGCTATAAGCAAAAAAAAATATAAAAAAGTCTTGGTCGGTGTGAGAATTGAACCACGGACCATTCGCTTAGGAAGCGATAGCCTCAACCACTGACCCACAGGTGCTCTTGCAGAATGCTTAAGGCTAGGCATTACTTTCCGCCGACATGAACGACGTCACAATATCTATTAACGGCATTTTAGTAGGCTACCGTTTAACGGCTGTTTAAGTACATCGATAAATAAATGTCTATATCTATGTGGCGGATTCATTTCTCCAAAAAATCCTATATGGGTATTTCGCCACTGCAAGAAAATCTACAAAAATTAGTTATTTTTTGTAAACACTTCTGCTTTAATCTCAAACGGAAACTACTTGTCAGAAGTTAGGTTTACAGATAAATTAAAAAAAGTTAGTGATAAATTTTACATTGGTGAAACATCTAGACCTTTAAATGTTCGAATTAAAGAAAATCAAGATTATTTAAGAAAGGGAGATTTTCACAAATCTAAGATTTGTCAGGATTCATAGATCACAGGGCACAGAATAAATTTTAATAACGTCAAAATTATAATGAAAGAAGCGATGGCCTCTAAAAGAAAAATAAAAGTTTTTTTTTAATACAATCTAATAAAAATAAATGTATTGCTCATGCATCCGTAGATGTTAGTAATGTATGGCAATCGCTTCTTTGATTTTAAAGAACATAACATAAATAAACATAACATACGTAAAAATTAAAAATAATCATACAGAAAGTTTGGGGCTTTTTGGTTTTACCTTATTAAGTAATTGTTATCAGGTAATAATTGTTAATTTTTTTAAGTTTAACTTGATATAATGTCATTTTAACAGAACGTAAACGGTTTTTGTAGACGTATCTGTTTTAAAAAACTAAAGTATTCTCGAATAGTTGAATTTAAATATTTTAAATATTTTTTTTTCTTTATTCTTTGTATTTTTTTTGCTTCCGACGACGGAAAGAGATAAACTTTCCGAAACGTTAAGCATTTTTTTGTTCGTTAAGCAAATTTGTATATCTGTAAACCTAACTTCTGACAAGTAGTTTCGGTTTGGGATTAACGCAGAAGCGTTTACAAAAAATAACTATTTTATTTTGTAGATTTTCTTGCAGTGGCGAAGTACCCATATAGGATTTTTTGGAGAAGCTCAATAAATCATTTTATATTAACATATTAAGCAGTTGGTTATAAAAATTTACTAAGTTTTATATGATAATAATTATTGATTCTATTTTCTAGATTCTTTTTGAATATAAATATGTAAAATGGTCTGACAAAAATGGAGAATTAGTTTTTTGCGACCCTGGCCCTGGAAATTACACTTGTAATGTTATGGCCGGCATAGTGCCACCACCTCCTGAACCTGATCCTGTGCCATCGGCAGAAGAAAAAGCTTCAAAAGCAAAAGTTACGAGATCCGATAAGAAAAAACAAAAACTGAAAAACTAAACGACGACAATTAATATTTTTTATCCATATGATTTATAATAACTAATTTAAATTTATAATATGATACCTTCGCCATATTGTCATTAAAATTTATTCCTTTCCATGCGGAGCTGCAACAAGTATAGTTTCAAAAAGACTTAAATCTTAACTCTCAAGTCATTTCTAAAATGAAAATGATTTAAATGTTAAGTCAATTTCAATATAAAGTTTAAATCATTTAAATTTTAAGTCTTTGACTTAAATCATTTTATTTCAAGTTAAGTCATTTTTGTAAAGATTTAAATCAATATAATGTAATTTAAGTCGTTTTTATGACTTACGTCCATATTTTTTATGTAAATTAGGATGATCTGCGAGTTAAGTCGGCAAAATGACTTAAATCAAAATAATTACAGTCAAGACAGCCAAAATTCAATTTAAGTACCTATTTTTCAAAGAGTAAATGCGGTGTCAATTCATCATACTCACTGAAAAAAAAATTAAAAATGTCAGGCTGACTCAACAGCGGCACATTAAAAAATTTCTTTAAATACCGAGGATTATTTTTTAGTATAGTATATCTTGTCGGCCATTGGATTGGAAAAAACAGAATAGCAGAATAGCCATATTGTTACAATGGTCAATACACAAAAAATTGTCAAAACACATTCAAAATAATTATTTCAAAGCAAAAAAAAATAAATTGTTTCTCTATTTTACAGAAAACAATTTATTAGGATGAAAACTTTCTTACCTATCATACATTATATGAGATCGAAAAAAACACGGCGTCACTGGCGTCAGATGGATTGCAAATGAAAAAAAAATATGATTCAGTCATACAGAATGACTGGGTCAAATGACTAGATTCAAATCTGGACTTGGAATGGACTAGGATGGAATCTGGAATAACTGGGTTCAAATTTACATACTAAGGGTCGGCATTTCTGGTCTTGGGTGCCGGTTTTAATGTGTACGTAGAGTACGGTCAACACGCTTAGTAAAATAAGATGTACTGAATAAAGACAGAAGACAGAAGGCGAGTATTTTCCCAAGCGCATGGAATCTAGCGTCAGATTAAGTAGTTATGTAATAAATACTTCGTATTTTTGTTCACTCCGACTTACTAGATTGCCATAACGACTCACTCCTATACATGTAAACGCCGACTCAAAGGTTCGCTTGCAGGCGGGATATATATAAAATGCTAATTTTTATCTGTGACGTCTCTACTAAAGTAACAACCTGCTGTAGAAAGTCGCTGTTTTTACTAAAAGTTAGCTTTGGCTCTTTTAAAAAACTGTCGACACCGGATTTTTTGTTTTTCATTTAATTAAAAAAAAAAAGTATTTTTTTTCCTGATGTCGCATGTAGTGGCGGATGCGCCAGGCTTCAAGTAGTCAATAATAATTAGCGATATTTTAACTTAGAAAGGATTTAAATATGTTGAAAATTTAATCTAAAATGTTATATTTTAACAACCACTCGATATAGATTATGACTATTATGAGTTTATAGTATTTTGGAATGGAAATTAATAGGACATCCACTGAGCAAAATATAACTAAAAATGTAATGATGAAGGGTGCCTTTGAATGCTGACCGATAAATAATTTATATACATAGAACTTTTAATTCGAACTTTAAGATTTAATAAGAACTTTAAGATATAAAAATTTTTAATTAGAATTCATCTGCCAACTGTCAAAGTCAAAACCATGTCAAAACGGGTTCATAAAATGTTAGGTGCTACGGTATATTACACATATTACATCAGATCATTAACTCTATCCAACTAGTAAAACAGTAAAATATTTGAATTAAAAAGCCTTCACAAAATTGTCAAGAATACAAGTATTTCTTAATTTCTTTGTCTTAATCTTTTAAATAATAATAATCACAAAAATTAAGTTATCTCATAATTGAAAAAATTATCTTCAGTCAGATCTTTATTATATCGCCAAAACTGTAGTTTATTTTTTATAATCGAGATTGAAATATTTATATTAACTTACATTCACCAAATTGTCATGAAAATTGCTTAACTAGGAAAGTTTAAAAATTTTATTTTCTATTTCGAGAACAATTTATATTTCCTAGTGAAATTCTTCTTTAATGCCTTAAATTATAAAAAATAAAAGTCGTATCATACATTATAATATATAACATCATATATTGACAAAACTCCAAGTAATTATATATGCATCTGTGCTTGCATGCGGCTTTACAGTTCTAAACTATCTAGAATAAATCGTTCAATGTCATCAAATTCAACTGAAAATTTAACTTTCTTTACTAACCCATATTATTCTCAAAGTAGAACGCTTATAAGCTACGATTTTGTAATTAGATTCATTTTTAAGAAAGGGAATTATTTATTTAAAAATGTAGTAGAAAAAAACGTAAAGAAAAATAAATAAATTTTTAATTGTACATATTTACAAGTATTTATTTTACATATAAATGTTATAGTTTAGACATAAATAATCTTTGTATTATTTTATAGTTCGTCTTTAACAGGTATTGCCGAATGATCCCAACGGTTCCATTTTAACTTTCTCCAAAACTTGGCTCTCTCTAAGTACAGTCCCTTATTCATTCCTGGTGATACTGCATCAATATTATAATATTCCATGTGTTCTGTCTCCACTGGGTGCCATTTTTCTGGTACGTCTTTTGATAATATAGGAGTGGGGTTCCTGAAAGTTAACTAATTTACTAAATATTCTATTATTATTACTAGTAATATCTTATGACCGAAAAAACTGCGCCAAAGACGGCTGAAGAATGATTCTCTGCACTCGATGATAATTTCGGCAATGTTAATCTCTAGACGTCATTTACCAAAAATTGACACAAAAAAACTTAAACTAAAAATTAACACTAATTATATAAAGATTAAAAAAGGATAGAACGTTTCCAAACACACAAATCTATTCCCAAAAAAACATTTTTTCTAGAATTTTAAATTACGTAGCTTGGTAGAGCCAAATTCTTGCCTAAAAAAAGTATGCCAAAAGAGTATCTCGATAGTATTCGACCGTAATTCTTTATCCCGTATACAGAATCTCGCATACAGTATCCTCGTTATGAAAGATCTAAGGTCCAATTTAACTACATGCTTTTTCTGTATCTGAGATATGCTCGTCTGGGATACAGCCAGCGTCAACGTCTGAAAGAGGTCTTAAGGTTGTCGCCCACTAGACCGCGGCGCGGCGCGGCACTGGGAAGAGAATTTTTTCCGGCTGCGAAGGGACTGCGCCCACTATAGTGCGCTTTTGAAACGCGGCAACGCTATTTAGTTATAGTCGAAGTGTTTTTTACTTACTGTAGTTTAGTTTTTAAAGCAATGAGTTCAAATACGGAGAAAAGCGTATTTTTGTGCTCTTCTAACAGAAGAAGAGGAAGAGGGGGCGAGGAATAGTTTGGACTCATACGATTAACAAAAAAAGAAAGAAGTTTGGAGAATTTTACCATCTTTTTCCAGATTTAATAAAAGACAAGATCATTTTTTTCAGTATTACAAAATATAAAGGAAACATTTTACGCACTCCTCAATTGAGGGTTTTAGAAGAAAAAACACCGGGTATATCTACTCATCATATTTTTTCAGAAGAGACAAATTACTAATATTTTTGATAATTCTTATTTATTCTGATGTGTATATTAGTTATGTGGTCAAAAAAACCCTGATCTTTTTTATATATTTAGGTAATTAGAATTTAAAAATTGGAGATTGTCACTTTTGTTAAAAAGTGGAGATTGCCAGTTTTGCCTCTACACCCCTCAATTATATTAAATCTTTGATAGAAAGGCATTTCGTCCATCTGTCTCTAGTGAGGGAAGACTAAAAAAAATATCATATTCCTTTATGAAAATCGATTTGCCTAATTTACCTTTAAAAATACAATTCTGCCATTGATACATATCACTAGTTCCTAGTCAAAAAGCCAACTGAAAAGACTCGAATGCAAAATTATTTCCCTTGTGAGTACGCACACTGCAACGCGCCGAAACGCGGGAGACGGAAAAAAGTTGCTAGAGAAGTCTTTCGACTTGTTGACGGAAACCAAAGCGGAAACCCCGCGGCGCGCTTCTGCGCTGCGCGCTCTAATGTGCGTTGGTCCATTTAGATACATAACAAGCAGACAAAAGAAATTTCCACATGGCGCCGCGCCGCGTCGCGCCTCGGTCTAGTGGGCGACAACCTTTACACATGGCATTCGGCGGCGCATACAGTATCGCGCGGCAAAATTTTTTAATGTGGAATTTTCAGCCGCCCGGCGACGAAGGAGTATCCGGGATACAGAATTATCATAGTAGCTTATGGACCTGTTCAGACTCGCATAGCCGCTTTCGATCATGAAAGATTCATAAGCTTTGTATTATTATATATATGCCACAGCAGAACGCACTCTTCAAGATTCATTTTATAATACGATAATACGACTGCACCGCATTGAATTTGTTTTAAACTAGAATATTATTTTGTACCTAAAAATAGTATGCCAAAAGAGTATCTCGATAGTATTCGACTGTAATTCTTTATCCCGTATACAGAATCTCGCATACAGTATCCTCGTCTGAAAGAGCTCTAATACTTAAAAGTATGAACAAATTCGAGACAATTCCTTAAAATAGTAAGTGAGTTTTTGTATAACGTTTTTAAATTTGACATTTTTACCGTTTGGATTATTTTTTAAAGAATATGGTGTAGAAAAAAACTGAAAAAAAACTATAGTTACTGTTTTTAAAAAGTAGTACCAATGTGATGACTAAGCATTCTTTGAGAAATTCTCACCAGAAATTACTTAAAATTAGGTTAGTTGAACGTACAAAGCAAGTGAGCATAAAGGCAGGCGGCCACTGCGAGCGTAACTAAACTAAGCTGAGAATATGAAAACAAACGGTAATTAAATGGGAACTCCACTGAGAATGATTTTCGCTCAGTAGTCAGCTAAGTTTTCGTATTGTATCTCTGCTATCATTAGAACTAATCGCTGCGAAAAATTCGCTGGAACGTGTCACGAACTAAAACGAGCGAAACTAAAATACGATTCGAATCTTCGTTCATATATTTTCGTTTTGTTTCGCTCAAGTAGCCGCTGACGCATTAAAAAGTATGGAAGCTGATTTTTACAAATCTTATCTTCGCTTAGTTCTTAGTTTAGTTTCGCTCGCAGTGGCCGCCCCCCTTAAACCTTTCAAACCATAAGGTATATGGCTTTAATACTTTACCCTGAAAGAGCAAAATTAGCAAATAAGCTAGTGAATAGCTTAGAAACATGTTTGTCTGACTCGGTTGGTGTTTTATCTGGAAATAATCCGTCTCCTACAGGGAAAAGGTACTGTAAATCATCAGCATGGCATACACCTACAATAAAAGAATAGTTTGTAATAATGAAACAAATAGGTCAGTAGAAATAGTTAACTTGTGTCTATAAGTATATTATTGATATGCAAATATTGTACGAAGTTTGTCAAAACTCTTCTCTAACTTCTCCCAAAACTCAAAAGCTTCACTACGATACAGAACTATTTATAACTAATTTTGGATATTCAATGTTAAGTATTTGAAAATCGGCAGTTTTCACTTATAAATTAAAATATTCTATTACTTTCAGTTCTCTTTTTACTTACCATAATCTTCCTCACCACCGCCAAAGATTTTACTGAAACTAGCAACTCCTCTATGACTGAACATATAATAATATACAGGGTCCTTAGTGAATTTTCTATGTAGTTGCACGGTTTCGTCCGCACAGTTGAGGAACCAGCCATCAGTATACATCTAAAAATTTAAGATTTTTTAAGAAAATTTAGTTTTTATTAATAATGTGTTCATGTCAAACCGAAGAATTTTTATGACACCCTCTATATTTTTCGCATGTCTATACAGCGTGTTTCAAAAAACGTGTGCCACCTCTCGTAAGGAGATTCCTCACGTAAAAATAAGATTTATCTTTCATATCAACATATGTCCGATTTTGCTTTGTTTCGTAGTTACCGGTGTTTAAATCTTATTTGTTTTTCGATTTACTATAGTTTTCTTCCAAGTGGTTTTAGTGATTCGAATTAAATTTTGAGGGTAAAGTTACTATAATTGCTATATTTTAAAGCTAAACGTCATTAAGGTAATAAAATAATCATAATAAAAAATGGCGCAATAATACTAGGGACGAAAATAAAATGAAAAAATAAATGCAAAGAAGATAATAATGTCTGGGCAAGGTTCAATCAACAAGATGTGATGCCACTGTTAGAACACACGACTACTACATTAGCAAAATTTCCATTGGCAGTTTTGTCGTGTTCAATAAAGAAAAAAAAAGAAGGATTCTGTCACGGAGTTAAAACTTGAACAATTTCCAAAAATGAGCGTTCGCGAGAGCAACTAATGACTGGTATCACATTTTTAAAAGTGTGAAAGTATATTTTGTATCTGTCTAAGTAGGGGATCCAATCTAACCATTCATTGAGAGAGTTATCAAATTTAATTATATTCAATTCCGCCATTAGTTATTTTCATATTTTAAATTTCTTCTTTTTTGTAAAGTTAGTCATTCATTAACTTTTTTAATTAAATCTGTACTTTCTTACGTATCGCTACACTAAAAACATACTCCTAATACTAACTTGATTGAGAGGATAGGATAACCCTGTTACATATCTAAATGTAAACCATGTGCTATCTAAAATTGATCTCGTCACTCTGACTAGATCAACTCTAGAACCTTTAAATTACTAGTCTGGATATTTATATGTAACAATTAAACAATATATTATTTAACAACTATACTTACATCTACCAATTCATTTCTCTTAGACCAATCGATTTTTTCATTTTTAAAATAAAATTTCTTTATTTCTTTTGTAATGAGGCTGACATTATGAGCAGTCTTTTCGTATATCAAGCTTACGGGAACAATTTTGTCAAATTCTTTATTTAGTTCTTCCAAAAGTTGATCATTACGTATCAAACCTAAAACAAATTCCTCGTTTATTTTTCTAGTTCCAATTATTTATCTTCTAATTATTTATCTTTTTTTGATTTTTCTTTCAGGTGTTTTTCTATATACAAGATGAGTCTTAAATAAGTGCAAATATTTTTAGGGCTGTTAGATCCTGATACATACGGAAATGTGTTGGTACACGGACGGATCCAAAAACGAAAAAGGATCTGGAGCAGGAATTTACTGCAGCAGTCCAAAGACTGAGATCTACTACAGTCTTGGAAAACACACCACAATTTTCCAAGCTGAGCTATATGCTATTGAAACCTGTGTGCAACTGCTGGTAGAACAGCAATACACCGGGAAAACTATATGCATATTTTCGGATAGTCAAGCCTCGCTGAAAGCACGTCTATGACGATTCTTCATTGTAAGAAACTACTCAATATATTAGGATAGGAACAAAGTGTCGCTAATATGGATACCGGGACATGTCGGCCTAGAGGGAAATGAACGTGCTGATTCCCTCGCCAAAATTGGTGCAGGCTCGCCATTCGTGGGCCCAGAACCGACACTTAGCGTTCCAAAAAATCTCGCAAGAGACAGGCTCTGTGAATGGGTTGGGGGTGTGACGTTCCGGGACTGGAATGACAGTTCCGGAATGGAACATGCCAAGAAAATCCTAGCAGGGCCATCCAAACATAGAACAGGAGAACTCCTAAAGGCCGGTAGGAATGGAGCGCGTACGCTCACTGCAGTGTACACGGGCCACTACCGGCTGAGATCTCACCTACAAAGGATGGGACTGGTTAGAAGACGCCGAATGCCGACTCTGTATGGAAGATGACAAAACAATGAAGCACGTTATCTGTACCTGCCCCGCCGGGGGCAGGTCCAGGTTTGAGATGTTTGGCAAACCCATGCTAGACCTTTCAGACCTAGGAGACATATCACCCTCGAACATAACGGCTGTGTTAAAAGGCTGGGTCTTGAGGGTGAACTTTACGCTCTTGTAAATTAGAGCGTGTAGAAACTGAGCACAATAGGCCATCGCGGTGCTCAGTGGAGGGTCCCCCCATGGGACCCACTCTTAGTCAATACAAAAAATAGATCCTGATAAAAGAAACATATTTCCTCTTACAGTTTTTCGAATAAGTCCAAAATAACCGAGTTATTTTACTTTGAAAACTTGTTGATTTTTTGCTTAAATTTCGAGAACCAGTGGATTTTTAAAGGGTTTTCTTTTTTGTAAATTTACTTTACTTCTTATGTTGCCATATTATCAAGAAATTATGTTTTTTAACTAAAGACTAAAAAAATTCCAAAAAAATTTTCAAATTTTAAAAAAAAATATCATCATCATTTTCAGCTTATTCAACCATTTTCAATTATGGTGTAGCCTCCCTCACATATTTAGATTTAGATACTCTTTTTGTAGTTGGGCTGGGTTTGGCTTGGTTTGGTTTGGTTGTCCCATCTCAGGTTCGGTCTTCTTTTAGGTCTCTTAGTTCCTCGTGGTTACCATGATGTCATTTTGTGGTCCATCTGTTGTCCGTCCATCTTGCCTGTCCATTGCCACTTGAGGGATTTGACTCTGTTGATGACATCTCTTACATGGGTCTTTGTGGTATCCACTCTATTATTTTACGATTTTTTGGTTATTTCCAGCATATTTCGTTCCATTGAGCGTTGTGACCTGCAGTTTCCTTATGAGGTCTGTTTCAAGTGTCCAGGTTTCGCATACATAGGTCATGACTGATAGTACACATTGGTAGAATGTTTTCTTCTTTAGATAAAGTGGAATTCTAGATTTGAATATGATTGAATTTCTTCGTTTCTTCTATAAGTACTCCATGCTAAATTCTTCAGGACTATTGGCAATTAGGACTATGTCATCAGCGAATCTTAGATGATTGATTTGGTTTGGTTTGTAGTCCAGTTGACAGAAGATTTCTTCTAGTGTTGCTGTAAACAGTTTTGGCGATAACGCGTCTTCCTGTGGTACTCATTTGCCAGTTGGAAACTCTGGGGTTGTTTTACTCTTGCTTTGACTTCTTTGTATATATTGGCAAAAGTTTCTATATAAGGCCTGGTAGTTTCTATATAGGCCTTGTGTCCCTAGGGCCTCTATTATTGCCTTAGGATATATAAATATAGCCGAAAGAAGTATATAAATGCTATAGCTAGTGGAAGTTTGTATTCTTTTGTTGGATCGACTGATAGTTTCTCTTAGTGTACGTATGTGATCAAAAATATACTACCGTTAAAATATTTGCACCTATTTAAGTATCACCCTGTATAATAAGAAAAAGGAACCGATTATACGCCGCAGAATGCTGACAACGGATTTATGGAGCGGCAGAGGCGTTTTAATCTACCCTTGTAGAATTAGCCTTATACTTTTAGCATAAGGATTACTCAAATGACATACTTTATATTAAACCTGTTAGAGTTCTGTTTGATAAAATTGAAATACATACCTGCAGCTCTGAGAGCTCCATCGTTTTTAGTTATTCCCACTATCATAGGTACCGGTGCACTCTTTCCCTTTTTAACTGCCTCAACTGGATGTTCCGTTAAGAAGGCACCTTCAACGTCAGGCTCTACAGTGGGCTTAAATGGTATCATGGGATCAAAATCCCATTTCTGAAAAAAAATCATAATAACTAAAGTAATTTTCTAACCTTTTGTGGAAATTAATTGTCAATATAAGCATGTTCTTTTAATATAAACATGCTGTTTTATCGAAAAAATAGTATAAAGTTAGAGCATATACACTGCTGGCAAAGGAATATTAGCAATAGGAGGTTTTCAATGCGATAAAAAAAGATGGTAAGGCTGCAAAATACACTGCAGTGCAACAGAGACGGATAAAGTGTCTTTTCCCTACCATCGTATAGGGGAAGTGATCATAGAAGTGATACGACAGAGAGAGCCCCTGCGAGAGGGGCGCCGGGCGGGTCTTTAAGACGCTTGTGTGGGGGCTACCGCCTACTAATAGAACAGAATCGAAAAAATAGAAACAGGACGGACAGTGTTGCCATTCAATTAAATCGAAATTATGTTGGCTTGTCAAAATCCTAAATCTTCTAATCCCATTATCTTGCCTACTTAATGAAATATTAAATAAAGTACGAAACAATTTTAAGAATGTTTTCTCTAGGCACATAACTTCTTTCTAAAACGAAAAGTAACATGCAAAACTTTGAAATCATTTCTAAAATAGCAAGTGCAATTCTATGAAATGGCAATACTGTACGATCTTCCTAGCAGTCGCCCCGACACAGTCGGTCGGCGGCGGCGCTTGACAAAGCCGCGGCTGTGACAAAGGAATTAGGCCGAAAAAAACTTTATAAAGAGTAGACGAACAGGGTTGCCGGGTTTGTTAGATTATAATTCCATACGAGAACAAAATTCTCAGTAGATCTTCAACAAAAATTAAAAGTACAGAAACGAAATAAAATATAATATTTAAGTCCAAAATTAGCATTCCTATGTGTCGTAATAATAGATCACTCAAATAAAATACAAATATAATAAATATAACAAGAATTAGAAATCGTTAGGTATATTATTTGATATTAAAAAAAATATTGAATTAAATAATATTAATATATTATTAAAAACATCTAAAACTATAATAAGTAGGGATAGCAGTCACAAATTAGTGTAGCAGTCACTTTTTACCTTTGTACAAATTTTGATCAGTAATATCTAAAATTAATTTCATTTCAATGGGAAAGCTGTAGCAACTCTCAACTCTTTTTTCGTATTAATATATTTTTTTGACGGGAAAATCACTAAAATATTTGTCCGAATTTAGGTTGTTTCTTAACTTAAATTTTGTTTTTTGTTTACATTTTTTGGGGAAAATATGGGTTCAACTTTAGTAGATGAATGAAATAAAATCTTTTCAAAAGATATCAACTTCTTCGGGCATGTCGCCAATACCGCGCCTAATAAGGAGTAATAAGGAGTAATAAGGATTTTTAGGAATATCTCTGTAACTCTGCAACTAGACAGAACGATGACCTGTATGTGTGTTATTACTAAATAAAATTTAATGAAACAATAATAAAGTCAAATTATACAGATTCCAACACGGCAGTCGCTTAATTTTTAGTCAAATAAGTCAGCTTTTTATAAGTGCTTCTATTGTAAAAACTAAAGACGCAGTTGAATATATCGTTAGATTTTTCTTTAAATCGGTAGATCGGTAGCTTACAGACGAAACCGGTAGACCTGGCAACTCTGTGATGAACTGACGGGAGTCAGAATAGCGAGGTGCGGAGGCGCGGGAAGGGAAATAAAATAATGGCGATAAATAAAGGGCAGGGAGATGGGTATCATGAGTGGATGGGAGGTGGCGGAATTTCCAAAATTTGTTATCTTATTGGAGTTTGTCTAAGTAGACAGTCGTAGTGGAAGTGGAAACGGGGAAGTTGTTGTCCATCTCTGTTTAAGCATAGACTTTTTATAGGCGTTTCATTCCAATGCATGTAATTCCTATGCCTAGAGATCCATTGCCGGGCCTGTATAGAGGGTGGCCATTAGGATGAGAAAGTCCAATATCGTCGTTGTTATCGGAGATATGATTTTTTTTATATAAATGTTGCATGATTTATAAAGTGTATATCTCCAAAATATTTTGTTGTATACAAGGTGTCCCCAAGTTATTGAGCTTACTTATTGAGCTGGAAAAAGAGGCAGAAAATATCAAGTGGGACATCCTGGGAATCAGCGAAGTAAGATGGAAAGGAGAAGATCTGATAGAACTTCAATGGGAAAACATGTTCTACTATAAAGGTACCTGTCTCTCCTGAAAAGATAAGCGGTATAGGATCTCTTATCAAAAAAGAATAGAAATACTGAGTAGTGAACATAACAGGTATCTCAGATAGAGTGGCAAACCTAACAACTGTCAGAGAAATATTGCTTACAAGTGGTACAAACATACGCTCCAACAACTCGAACGAGAAAGTAGAAGAATTCTATAATGGAATCTTTGAATGGAATCAACCAAGCACTGGACAGCAACAATAGTCATTTCAAATATCTAATAGGAGACTTCAACGTAAAAGTAAGAAAACAAAAAGAACAAGAACAACAACTAGGAAACTTTGTAATTGGGGAACGAAATGAGAGAGGAAAGAGACTTGTAAAATACGCATATTATCAGAACCTGTTCATGGCCAAAGAATACTTTAAGAAGAAGACAAATAGAAAATGGACATGGCAAGCTCCTAATGGTGTAACTAGGAATGAAACTGACTTCCCATTTTAACTATAAAATAAATATAACACACAGATAAACACAGTATAAGATGTGAGCGTTCTTGGTTTTGTTGCAACAAGTTTCGAACAGGCTGTGACCACATACTCGTCAGAACCAGAATAGTCCTTGACATTCGACTAGAAAGACTAAAACTGATCACTCCAGAAATAAAACCTAGAGCAAACACCAACACACTAAAAGAAAGATCCAGTGAAAATGAACAGCCGCTGGACAGCAGGCTGCCTGAAAAAGAAACAAACACATAACAGCTCATGGGCACTGTACTAACTGTGCAAAAGAAATCGGGGGCCCACAACGGCGTAACAAATATAATAAATAGATAATAAATTGACTGATTAGACAAATGCACTTCTCAAGAAAAGAAGAGAAATGAGAACCGAGAGCAACATATATAGAATAGAATACACAGAATTATGTAAGGCAATAAGAAAGTGAGAATACAGAAAATATGAAAAACTACAATGAAAAACTTTTCAAAGTGCAATCGAAAATAGAAAAATCTATAAGAACGCTAAGAAATCCCTCATGATCGGAAAGAAGCAGTAACACACAACATCAGAATTGATTGAACAGACAAAAACGAAATAATAACAAGGTTCTACAGCGATCTATATAAAGCCCCAGAAAACATACATGAAGAAGAAAGACTGCCCCCCTACCACAAGCCGACGGCGACGCCCTAGAAGTTCTCGTGGGAGATGTAGAAAAGGAGCTCAAGTTATGAAAAAAGGAAAGGCAGCAGGGGATGACGAAATAACAGCTGAAATACTTAAGTGCGCTGGTAGGAGGACTTGGAAAGTCCTAGCAAATATATCACTGTCTATGGAGAAAACATATACCAAGACCGGAATAGCGCCAATATAATTCTATAATTCGCAAGAAAGGCAGCAATGAAGACATCAGAAACTATTGAGCAATACATTGCCTTCTACCAGTAACATACAAGATATTTACAAAAATAATAAACAACAGAATACAAAATACGCTACAATTTGCCTGGTAATACAGGGTGAGTCTTAAATAAGTGCAAATATTATTAGGGATTTTATATTTCGACCCCAGAAACAAAATTGAGAACCTAATAGAGTCTATGAGGTTTAATTCGCGATTTATTTTTAATTTGGAATTTTTTGGAATTTTTTTTAATTTGGTTTGGTTTGATAAATAATGAACTAATTATTTATCATTAATTAGAGTTTATGTTGAAAATAAATTTAAATTTTTTTTATTACTCACCATAAATATCGTATCCTTTTTAATAATATCCATTGCATCAGCCTTTCGTAAACACTCTACCATGTCTTTGGAATTATCAGTTGGACAATCCAGAGACTTTGCAAGTTGTTTAGAGTGCTCAATATTTTCATTTTTGGGTGCCGAAGCCCACACGCAAAGAGCTGTTCCACTCATAGCTATGACTCGATGAAACAAACCTGAAATAGAATTTTCCAATTATAACAAAAATTCCATGCGTTCCCGAAATAAAGGGTTTTGACAGACAGACGGATGGACGGACAACAAAGTGCTCCTAGAGTTCCGTTTTTTTCTTTTGAGGTACAGAACCGAAATAAAAAATGATATTTAAAAATAATAAAATTATTTGTAACAATTTAATAAGAATATAAATTCAAATGAGTAAGAGTATTTCTTACTTAATAATTCAAATGATTAAGTATTCAGAAATTTAGAATACAAATAGAACTATAATATTGTTTAATTTACCTCGGCTCATAGGTGATACCATATGATAATGCACACTGGACCCACCGGCAGATTCTCCAAAAATAGTGACACTATCCGGGTTACCCCCAAAGGCCTTGATGTTTCTTTGTATCCATTTCAAAGCTAAGTTTTGATCTTTAAGGCCATTATTTCCTGGCACTATTCCATCTCCTGTACTGAGAAACCCTAATGCGCCTGAAAATAATATGTTTTATAAAGTTGAGGTTTGAAATCGTTGGGGGCGCAAAACCCTGTTCGGAACCGCGTTTTGTTAATCATGTAGTACCATGTTAGTATCATTAAGAGTTGATTTAACCATGTTAGTGTCATCATTTCAGATTAAAACTGATGATTTTAATCTTCCGCTTATGATGCTATTGTGGTGAACTATAGTTACCATTTTGCAATTTTTACACAGTTTTATACAATGATATATTGCTATTTGCAAAGACAATGTTATGGAAAATTATTTAGCTTATTTATTATTAATTTTTTTCACACTATACAGGGTGAGTCTTAAATATGTGCAAACATTTTTAGGTATACTTTATTTTGACCCTAGAAACACGATTATGAGTTTTTTTCCACAAAAAAAATTGAAAATTTGACATTTTTTAAAAAACTTTTTGGATTTTTTTTTAGTTTTTAATTAAAATTCATAATTTCTTGATAATATGGCAACATAGGTAGTAGATTAAATTTACCAGAAAAAAATCCGGAAAAAAACTAGTGGTTTTCAAAATTTAAGCAAAAATATTTCTTTTTTTGGAAAATTTCAAAGTAAAATAACTCGGTAATTTTGGAGTTATTTTGAAAAACGGTAAAGAGAAAATATGTTTCTTTTATCGAGATCTACCAGCCCTGTAAATATTTGCACTTATTTAAGACTCACCCTGTATATTCTGAATTATATTGTATTTGTTGTTTACGTTAAGTTTTCTTTAAGCACGGTCTAAATTTGTGTCAGGTTTAAGAAACATTAGTAAGCATACTGTACCTATCTAAAATTATTTTTGTGGATAACATTAATTTTTTTATCACGTTTTATGCGACAATTATTGATATAGAAAATGTATATAAACTAGCGTAAATGTTGGAAACATGTGTGGTTTTACTAAGAAGCAATGAATGTTATTGGTTTTTCTAAATGTGATAGTCAATGATTGAGTAATAAGTAATAAAAGTCAGTTAATTTTTCGAATTATACCCACATTATAAAAAATATCTCATCAATAATTTAGAACATGATAGGCGATTAAATTTTCCAATAAAAAAAATCGCTAATTTTCAATAAAAACAAATAGGACAAATAAAACGATTGGTGAAAGAACCTTCTATCGAAACACAAGGAAATCCACAAGATGGAGTAACCTTTCCCCTACTGTACAGCTCGGATGTAGTGGATGAACTACTAGACAAATTAACTCTAGCGGGAATACACTGACTTTGGTATGCAGATGGCAGAGTCATAATCGCAGGGGGGAAACATGAACGCACCCTCTGTAATATTATCCAAAGAGGACTCCGTATCACTGTCGTGGTGCAGAACTGTCGAGCTGAGCATCAACTCAGATAAAACCGCGGTAGTGCCATTCATCAGAAATCGGTTCTAAAAAAGTTGAAAAGAATCCATCTAGATGGATTAATTATTATTATTATTTGTTATTATGGTTATTTTTTTTTCCATTATATATATATATATATATATATATATATATATATATATATATATATATATATATATATATATATATATATATATATATATATATATATATATATATATATATATTATAATCTCTTCTATAAATCTATAGAAGAGATTATAATATATATACCCTTTGCACTGAAGCAATGCGAGAGCGGATTCCAGTGTAAAGTGGTAGTTGGAGGAGGGTTTTTTTGGCCGGTATATATATTTTTACAAAAAAAGTTTATCAACTCCATTTTTTTTGTAGGTACATAAACTGCACATGTGATATTACACAATTTAAGTCCATATGTAAAACAAAATCAGTAAATTTCTATGGAACAGGCATATTAAAAACATTACCAGCAAAGCCACAGAGACTCATGATATTATACAGGGTGGTCCGAACTGTATTCCGGAAACTTCAGCAGCATATTCTCCAGATCAAAATAAGTAAAAAAGTTCGTATAAATGTATGTCCTAAAATGCTTAGTTTCGGATATACAGGGTGTAGAAGTTTCATTTTTATTTCGACTTTTTCCAAATAATTTCTGCAGTAACGTCAATATTTGGATGAAAATTGGTGTCTGGAAGTTTTTTGACATGAGAAACTTGATTTTGATGTCAATATGACTCCTACTAGTAGAGGGCGCCACCTACATATTTTTTAACTGGTTTGAAGAGTAATAACTTTTCGTCCGTACCTGTATAAAACTACTGAGTAAAAAAATATTCATTTAGGACGTTTTTTACGTAAAAATTGTATCTTGGTAAAAATCGCCACGAGTTTTGGTTTTTGAGATATTTGGAATTTATCAATACCTGTCATTATTGACATAAATTAAACATGATGACTAAATAGTTATTAGACTGAGATTATAAATTTGAAAGTTTTTGTGCCAAGTTTTGTTTTATCATCATTTTTTGCAGAAAAATTTATGATTAATTTAAAAAAATAAAAATTTCCCAAATTTATTATTTCAGTGAAATAACTATCTACTCATAACGTGTTTATTTTTCTTCAATAATGACATGTATTGTCTATTGCCATTCTAAATATCTTGAGAACGGTTGCTCTTAGCGATTTTTACAAAGATATATTTTTTGCGTAAAAAGTCGCAGCAATTTATATGTTTTCCCTCTGTAGTTTTATACAGGTACGCACAAAAAGTTATTACGCTTCAAAACAGTGAAAACATATGTAGGTGGCGCCCTCTACTAGTAGGGGTCATATTGACATCAAAAACAAATTTCTCATGACAAAAAACTCCCAGACAACAATTTTCATCTAAATATTGACGTTACTTCAGAAATTATTTGGAAAAAATCGAAATAAAAATGAAACTTCTACACCCTCTATCTCTGAAACTAGGCATTTTAGGACATACATTTATACATAGACTTAAAATAAAATATTTTAAGTCTATGCATTTATACGAACTTTTTTACTTATTTTTATCTGCAGAAATGTTGCCAAAGTTTCCGGAATACAGTTCGGACCACCCTGTATAATAACAACTTATAGAGCAAGAAGTGTAATAATGGAGATGTGAAGCGTGTGGTGTACTTTTACTTGGATGTGTTTTTAGTTTTTTTTACTCGGATTTTTTGGATTTCAAAATATGGCGTTGTTAGGGCTCAGCAAGACGCAACTTTACTCTAATTAATCATCTTTGTATCTCTTCTGGTTTTTGAGATTCCTGTAGTGTGCATTCTTACTCCTACCTATATCACAAAGTAACAACGATTTCATCCAACTTGAACAACAACTTAAACACAACATCGGTATTTACTGATTTTTTTTATTTTTGAAATTATAAACACGTGATTTATCTTTCCCTAAACTTCATTAAAAGTGATCATCTAGAATAGAGATGAGTAGGTCCGGATGGATACGAATTCACCGACCTCTCTCCGATACCGGTGGTGATGGATGTAAATCCTACTGAAATCAACCCCTATTCGCGAAAATGCATAGCTGACAGCGAACCGGCATCGTTGGCAGATATACTGCCATACTCGCTGACGAGTATTTGACACGCAGCAGAAGATGGTCACGCAAGGCGTTTTCTTTCATGAGCTTTTCTGTGACTGAAAAGCCCAATACGTGATGTTATTTGTCTACCGCACTCCGGACATTCAAAAATCTCATTGCTTTGTTGCCTCTTAACTTTTTTTTGGCCGTCGGCAGATAACGAAAACACTCGCGAAAACATAACGATGCAGCGAAATAAATGAATACTTAAGAGTAATGGAATGAAGAGGGAATTGTAACTGCTGCTGAGTTGTATACCGGATGCGTTTCAAAAGTGGTTCACCGCCTATAACTTTTTTATTTTTTCAGATAAAAAAATTGGCGCCGGGAGGCACGTATAGCCGCCCATACTAAAATATGTTAATAAAAAGTTGGTAGGCAATTCTTTTAGTTTCAAAGTAAAGGAATTTTTCCAATTTTGGTCCGCGGTTATTTCCCCTATCCGCCACCTGGGGTCGCGTCCGATGGGAGTTTGGAGTTCTCCACACGGATTTTCTCAAAAACGGACTACGGAAACACGGAATATCTCAAAAACTTCGACTTGACTGATTTTGATGTTATTACAAATTTTGTTGCAAATATTATTCCTAATCTTAAATTGAAAACCGCGTTTCGCTAGCTACTGTAATTTTGGAGTTACGATTTTTTAAAATTTTTAACCCCCTCCCATACCCCCTTACCAACCACCACCAAAAACTAATGGCCAGATTCTCGGGTGCCACAGTATTTTTGTGCCAAATTTGGTTAAAATCGGTTTAGCGGTTTTTGAGTTATCGTGTTACAGACGGACAGACAGAGAGACAGACACACAGACAGACAGACACCATGAAGATATTTTGTATTTAGGTCATTTATGACTCAAATAACTCATTTTGAGTGAAATAAAAAAAACTTTTTTTGCCGATCTTAATAGCCTACCATACCTGTTGGTATGGTCGGCTAAAAACAGATTGATTGGCGTATTCAATTGTTTTCGATCACTTCCTGTTTTTTTACCGGAAATGGCTACAACTTTTGATTTTTAAATGATACCTTCGATATTTTTTTCACTTTATTCAATAGAAAATGACATTCCGAATAGAATGACATTACCGAATGTCAACTTTTGATATTTTTGCATATGGTGTATTTGAAATTGTAACATGCGGTTCATAACGACAATTTGACTCGAATTACCAAGCGTGTGTTATCAAATTACTTGTAAAAAAATGAACTTTCGTTCCATTTGAAAAAATTGAGATATTATTAAAAATACGATTTGGGCATCTTTTAAACGGCTTCAAACATTAGATAAGGTTTCTTGATTAAAAATTAGTGTTTTTAACACAGCCATGACACTTTAGATTCAAATTTTACTTTTTTTTAAGCGTGAAGGTCAAAAGTTGACATATTATATGTCATTTTATTCAGAGTGTTTTTTTCTATCGGATAAATTAAAAAAATACCGAGAGTGCCATTTAAAAATCAAAA